TGTCCGGGGGTCCCAGCGGCGGCGGCCTAGGGAGTTCTTACGAGAACCCCCTCGTGCCTGGCGAGGAAGGCGGGGAGGCGGGAGTGAGCCGGCGCGTCTCCCTAAGCCGCTCCTTCCTGTAGAGAGGGGACTGGCCTCTGAGGGACTTGTGCCCACCGGCTGCCCAGCTCCGCCCGGCAGGGCCCGCCAGGAGGAGCGCGCCCCGCTGCAGGTGGTCGGCGCCTTGGATCCCGCCCAGGGGCCATGTCGTTTCTTTGTAAGAACAGGGCCCTCCTGGCGGCCGCCTCAGCCCTGCAGCTGCCTGCGGCTCTGTTCTGCTCTCCCGGCCGGCTCAGAGCAGCTTTGGAGACCCAGATCCAAGCCTGTGCGAGGGTGGGGCCGCGCCGGGCCCAGGGACGTGGGCGGTGAGGGAACCCCTGGTCGGACTGAGCAGCGGTGGGTAGCCGCCAGCCGCTTGCTCTGGAGCTCCCAGCCTGGGAAAGGGGTGCTCCGTGGGAATTCCAAACCCCAGGTGGGTGTGAAGGGGGGACCCGTGGCCTGCCTTGCTGGGTGTGGGAGGGCGGCAGGTAGGCTGGGGTTCCCCACCAGGACGGGCAGGGCCTGCACGCCCAGTTGGTGGGGGTCCCTCCACCCCATCCCAGCCCCGGAGCGAGGACTCCTGTCAAGACCGGGCAGGCTGCCCTGCCGTCCGGGGTGCACTGCACTCTGCCAGCTCGCTCTCTGCATCTCACTGGGCTCGGTCCTGGGGGGGGGTACCCCGGTGCCTGGCACCATAAGGTCCAGGCCCAGTCTGGTCTCTGCTTGGCCCACACCTCTGTCCTGTCCCCACGCAGAGCAGCATGTGCCGGGCATCCTTGTCCTGTCAGGAGCACCCCCACCCCCACCCCGCAGGTTTGGAGGTTAGCAAAGCCCCCACGGCCAGCCGGGGTCTCAGCAGTGTCCCTCTGCATCACCACCTTGGGCGTTCACGTTATTGCATTCTCGGGGCCGCCCTGAACTTTTTGAGCCCGTCCACAGGCCCCGGTCCCCAGCAGGGCAGGTCGGGCCGGCTGCTGAGCCCTGGGAGGGAGTGCAAGGCACACGGGAGGCGTCCCAGTGGGACCTGGGTCGGAGAATCTTCGGGTGAGGGGCCTGGAGGGCAGGCCTGGTGGCGGCTGTGTGAGCGTGTGTGACGGGGGCAGGTGCGGCTGTACAGCGGGTGTGGGTGCCCTGCAGCTGTCTGGCGGGCCTGCTGCCAGCGTTCAAGCACCACCTCCCTGGGCCTGTGAGGCTAGGACTGCACTCTGGGAGGTCAGGGTGCCACCTCCCTGCTCCCCTCGACTGTCAATGGCTGCACCCCTGTGACCCCAGAACCAGAGAGTGCCCACAGAGCCAGAACACCAAAGGTGTGGGCACCACGTGGGTGCAGGGGAGCAAATGACCACCCAGGGCAGCCCAGTTCAACTCCCTCATGGAACCCTGCCTCACGGCCTGGGCGCCCTCTGGTGGCCCCTCGGCAGTACGCCTCCAGGAGCTCCGGACCCTCTGTGGCTTAGGGGCACCCAGGCACCAACTCTTCTGCAGGCCCCACAGCCAGCCTTGCCCACTGGGGCCCGCCGGAGTCCGGCACCTGCCAAGGCTGTGCCCTGCGCTCAGCAGGGGGGGGGGTTGGGGGGGGGGGGGTCCTGACCTTTCCTCCTGGTTGGAAGGGAGGAGGGTGGCTCTCTGGCCTGTGCTTCAGGACCCAGGAACAGCGAGGACCCTACGAGACTGTCCATGGAGCAGGGCAGTGTCTGCGCCAGGCTCACGCTAAGGCCGTGTTTTAGTCTGCTGGCCAGCCCTGCCCGCCAGCGGTGACGACAGTTGTCCCAGTTTACGGGCGAGGAAGCTGCTGGACCGAGGCCCTGTGGCCAAGTGGGCCCTCCCTCGTCCAGCGCTGCAGAGAGTAAGGGCCAAGTGAGGTGCCCAGCCTCTGCGAGCCGCAGCCCCCAGCTGGGTCGCGGGCGCCACAGGCATTCCCACAGTTTTCGACCTGTCGGTTTGTTTGCTGGGGTCCGGGTGCTCCCCCGGAACGCACACTGCTGAGGGCGGGGACCACCTCAGTCCAGTCTGGTTTTGTCTGCAGAGCCTGGCCCAGCTCTTGGCCTGTGGAAGAGCCTCCCTGGGGGAGGCGGAGAGCAGGAGGTGGGCAGAGGAGGTCTTTGGGGCAGAGGGGCAGACGGGGCAGACCCAGCCCTGGCGTCTGCACTAGCCCAGGGCAGGAGAGGGGCCCGAGGCCTGTGTGGAGGGTGAGGTCCGAGGGGGCTGTCGGCACACAGCACAGGAACTGCCCAGCCTCCATGCGTAGGGGCATAGGGTGGGCACTGGCATGCAGGCGCCTGCCCTGAGGACTCGGCCCACGGGCCCTCAGGAAACTCTGTGTTCCGTGGGGCTCCGGAAAGCCCCCAGCACATAGCTCCTCCCCAGACAGACAGTTGTGTCTCACCTGTCCAGAGACAGCCCTTGTGGCCTGGCGTGGACCCCAGGTGGTCCTCAGCCGGTGCTGGCCTCAGCCCTGCCCTTCCACCATGCCGAGAGCTAAGGTTTCATCATCCCCAACATGGGGACTGGGCTGGGGGTGCCCCAGGGGAGCCTGCAGCCGACAGGGCCTCAGGCATGATGCAATGGCCTGCGGACGGAGCCTCCGCCTGGACACCTGCCTGCCCCTGCAGAGGGTGCGGAGGCCCCAGGCTGGGTGCAGACACCAGCACCCTCACCTCTGCGCCTGTCTTGGTGAGGGCAGGAACACTTGTGACCACCCTGAGGGCTGCTGAGAGGGGCCGGTGCATGGGGCGGGGCAGGTGAGGCCGCACCCATCCGGCCTGGATGCTCCGTGGCCAAGCATAGCCCGCTGGGTAACGGCAGCCAGCCGGGGAGGCATGGCACCTGCTTCCCCTCACCCTGGTTCAGGCACGAGGCTGGTGGGTGG